GGCCACCCAGACCCAGGGCCAGGATGGGCAAGAGCGGGCGGGGCAGGGCAGAGCTGGCAGGTTCATTCCTTGCGCACCACAAGCACCCAAGGCTGTAGCCCTGGCCCCACCACCCGCCTGGCAGTCCCCACTCACCCTCACTGAGGAAGGCGTCCCAGACACGCAGCACCGTGGGGAAGGGCAGGGAGCGGGCGAAAAGGCACAGGAACCACTCGGGCAGGTAGAGCAGGGGGCCGACGCCCACCTGCTGCAGGTGCTTGTGCACACGTGGGAGCAGCCGCCGCAGCAGGGCCATGAACACCTCGGCGTCCAGCCTCACAGACTCCTGCAGCCACGTCCGTCATTACCTCCGCTCCCTCCCCAGGCCCCCACCCACCTGCCCAGCCCCCCTGCTGTGCCTCTGGCCCCATTCAGCCTCTCACCATGTGGGGCCCATAGTAGCCGGGCAGGTAAAGCTCGCAGATCTGCACCAGGCACCAGAAGGCCTCCTGAGGACAGAGCCAGGCTGTGAGTGCCCACCACCAAGGGGACCGCAGGGCGGGGGAAGGGGTGCAGGGGAGCCCGGGACACCATCTGTGGTGGCTCAAGCCAGAAGCCTGAACTCAGTGCTGGGGGGCTTTTACCAAAAGCCTCCCTGTGCCCAGACAGAGAGCTACCCATGATTTGGTCACAGAGCTCAGGGTGTTGAATTTGAGGGTCACAGGGTTGGGGCTCACTGGTCAAGGGTTGTGGGCTCAGAGTTCAAGTATTGGGTTCTTGGAGTCATTGGGTCAGGGATCATGTTTACAAGGTTCAGAACAAGGAGTCGTGCCCTAGCTGGTTTGGCTCAGTGATTAGAATGTTTGCCCGCAGACTGAAGGGTCCCGGGTTCAATTCCAGTCAAGGGCACATCCCTCGGTTGCACACTCAGTCCCAGGCCCTGGTCGAGGCACTTGCGGGAGGAACTAATCGAAGTGTCTCTCACATCGATGTTTCTCTCTCCCTGTCTCTCCTCCTCCCTTCCATTCTCTCTAAAAAATCAATGGGACAAATATCCTCATGTGAGGATTAACAAAAAACCAAACAGAAACAACAACAAAAGAACTGGGAGTCATGAGGTCAAGGTAATAACATCCAGACTCCTTGATCACTGAGCAAGGTAACTGGAGTCAAGGTTGTTGGGCTTGAAGGTCACTGAGGTTGGCTGTAATGAGGCCCTGGATCACTAGGACCGGATCTGGGAGGCAAGGATCCCAGGTCCCTGAGGTCAGAGAAACTGGGGTTAGGAAGTCATGGGTTCAGGACCCAGGAAGGACTACAAGGGCCCAGGGTCACTAGGGTTGGGGATCAAGGGTCCCAAGTACACAAATTCAGAGTCCCTTGGGTTGGAGACAAGGTGAGTGAGGTTGGGGAGGTCAGGGTCTCGGGTCCCTAGCGCAGGGTCAGGGGCACTCACCTCGGGGGGCAGATGCATGAGCAGCACAGCAGCCACAGGGCCCTGGGCCTGGCAGTAGCCCTGTTCCGGCCGATAGAGGGTGTAGGCCTTGAGTACCTGCAGGAGCCCCTGCTGCCTGTGCCAGAAGACCCCATTAGGCATCTCTTCCCCAACCTCTGGCAGCCTCTGCCCAGACCTCACCACCCTGGCCTTGCTGGATCCCCTGAGATGCCAGACTTGACGCTGGGGAAGCAGGGGTGGGGGTGGGGGGTGTGTGGCTGGGATCCCTGGGCATCACTGGCCTCGTACCCGTGCCCCTGGGGTGACACAAACATCTCGTGCAGAGGAAACTGGCGGTGCAGGTCCCTGCTGATGGTCTCCATCCACTGCGGATCTCCTGGGGCCTTAGCCAGTTCCTGTGGGTGGGCAGGAACGTGGGTGTGAGGGCTCAGAGCGGCGAGGGGCTCCGGGAAGGGGAAGTAGGACCCCTGCCCACGCTCTTACCTGGTAAGTGTCAGGGCTGTTCTCCTGATACACGTGAGCCCCGCACAGCAGGGGCCAGCACCGGGCACGCAGGGCTGAGGGGATGCCTTTCCGGCACTGCATCTTTACCTGTGGGGGAGGCCAAGGGACCCCAGTAGGCCAGCCCCCCAGCCTCCCCTGCTCCTCTGAGCAGGCACCAAACACAGCCTGTCATGGGGCAAGGGCCACTTTGGGTGGTCGGGAGAAAAGGCAGGAGGTGCGGGACGCAGGAGGGGTAAATGTTGCCTGGGCCTGGACCAAGGCAAAGGGTGCTGAGCCAAGGAGGCTGGGTGGGCCACTGTCCCTCTCACCTTCTTGTACCGGCGAGACATGGTTTTCTCCCAGTGTGAAGTCATCTCCACCCACTTCATCTCCCTCTGCCGGATAAGGTCTGCGGGAGGGTGGCCTGGCCTGGGAGCACATGGCAGACATGCAGATGCAGGGCAGCTGTTACCGGGAGCCTACATCTGGCACTCTCAGTGCAACCTGTGTAGCCCCTGGGGAATTGACCTGTCACCCAGGAGTTGCCAGTAGTTGTTATGGGGACAGGAAAGGATGTGGCTCTGATGTGGGCAGAAGCAGGAAAGACTAAAGGGGGTGTGTAGATGTGCGTTGGGGGAGGGGCTGGTTGGCTGTCCCCAGAATAGGGGCGCAGACAACTCATAGCAGAAGCTGAGTGGACAGAACCCTGTACTAGAAGCCAGGAGTCCCAGAGTCCCTGGTTCTGTCTCTGAGCTGCGGTGTGACCTCAGGCAAGTTCCTTTGTGTCTCTGGGCTCATTATCCTATCTATAGGTTGGGAACAGGGACATGTGGGGGAAGAGGTGTGGGTTTCTGTGATTTGGATTTGGGATTCTTGGGCCAGAGATTAAAAGGGGAAGAATTTTTGGCTCCAAGGGTGGGTGCATACCCTCGGAGACTGGGTGTAAAAGAGGCATACTTGGCCCTAGCTGGTTTGGCTCAGTGGATAGAGTGTTGGCCTGTGGATTGAAGGGTCCCAGGTTCGATTCCAGTCAAGGGCACATGCCTGGGTTGTGGGCTTGATCCCCAGTGAGGGGTGTGCCGGAGGCAGCCAATCAATGATTCTCTCTCATCATTGATGTTTCTCTCTCTTTCCCTCTCCCTTCCTCTCTGAAATCAATAAAAATATTTTTTCAAAAGCGGCATACTTGGACATACTACCCCCAGCCCTGCCATCCTTAGGATTCTACCTGGAGCCTGAGGAGTGACACTGGTTGAACCCGAGACCCTCCCAGGACCCTTGAGGTTGGGCCTCACTCTTGAAATCAGCCCTCAGCCCCCACCCTCAATCCATGCATTCCCCCAACCCCCCACCCTTCACCCCCCACTTCCTTCCCCACTTACCCTGGCTCTGCTGAGCTGCCCCCAATGAAGCCATAGCGGTCAGCCTGGCGATATGGGCCCGGGCCACTCAGCTCTGAGTCAGAACCCAAAGAGCTGGAGTCATCCTGCACCAGGTCCTCACCCAGGGACTGGGCCATGCTGTCGCAGACCCCCAATGTAACAGCTGCAAGATGCGGGGAAAGCGAGTGTGAGAGGCAGCTCCTGGCCAGTCTGGGCCTGGGCTCCCACAAAGCCAGTCCCCAGCCGCAGATCCCGGCTGCGAGTGTAGGGAGGAGGTTTCAGGGTATCTCACCAAGCCCCTCTATCCCCTCTTCTGGAGGGGTGGGCCCTGAAGTGGCAGAAAAGCCAGGCCTCCGTACAGAGACCCAGCCCCAGGCCCAGCCCCAGCTCACCTTCCTGCTGCACCTCACCTCCTCCTCTCACTTCCTCCTCAGCCACAGCTTCAGCAACTCACTGGGGGCCCCTCCCCAATGTGTGTGGGGGGGTCACCCCTTCCTCTCTGAGGCTCTTCCTGCCTACCCCAGTGTCCCTGGGCCATCGGCTCCTCCCTCTACCCTTTGGGCAGGCGTGGGTTCCTGTGCTGGCTGTGATGGGGCCAGGGTTGCCAGAGGTAGAGAGACCAGGCGTCCTCTAGTTTTGAGGAGACTAGCATGTAAAACACTCAATTCAGTGAGCCAGTGAGAATTATGGTTTCTTTAATATTTGCTCTTTACAAAGTAATACTTTTAAAAATATGTTGTTGGTTTTTTTTTTAATCAATTTCAGAGAGGAAGAGAGGAGAGATAGAAACATCAATGGTGAGAGAATCATTGACCGGCTGCCTCCTGCACGCCCCACACTGGGGATCGAGCCCACAAGCCAGGCCTGTGCCCTGACTCGGAATGGAACTGTGATGTCTTGGTTCATAGGTGGACGCTAAGCCACTGAGTTATGATGGCCGGGCCAAAGTAATACTTTTTTTTTTTTTTTAATATATTTTATTGAGTTTTTACAGAGAGGAAAGGAGAGAGATAGAGAGTCAGAAACATCGATCAGCTGCCTCCTGCACACTCCCCACTGGGGATGTGCCCGCAACCAAGGTACATGCCCTTGACGGGAATCAAACCTGGGACCCTTCAGTCCGCAGGCCGACGCTCTATCCACTGAGCCAAACCGGTTTTGGCCAAAGTAATACTTTTAACGTGCACATATGCAGCATTATTATGCTACACAATAGGCAGTGATGGGGCTCATAAATAAATATTAATTTAGGTTGCACCACAGACAGCGGGGCCCCAAACGGGCTCGGAGTTCTGGTCAGCCGCCTGGAGGGCCACAGAGACTCAGGAGACAGGTCCTCCGTGACGGAGACCAGCCCCTCCCTTGCTATCTCTGAGTCTCAGCTCCCTTTTCTGCACTTGAGGGACTGAGTCCACGGTGTCTGGGAAACAATCACCAGGTGGGAAGGACTGCTCAGGTCCTGAGAGAGAAAAACAACTTCCAAGGTACTTCCGGCCGCAGAGCCTCGGAAAGGGGCTGGGCGATGCCGAGCAGGGGCGGAACCGCCTCAACCTCGCCCCCGAAGCCCCGCCCACCGGCCGGGCCCCGCCCCGCCCCGCCCCGCAGCCCCGCCCCCCGGGGCGCCGCGGCCGCTGCGCTAGGGTCCAGCGGAGGCGCTATGGAGCCGGGGCCGCGGGCCGGGGAGCGAGCGGGGCGGGGCGGGGCGGACCGGGGAGGGCGGAAGGAGCTCCAGGCCGGAAGGAGGCCGCGGAGGGCGGGAGGCAGGAGCGGGCCCGGAGCTGCTGGGCCGGAGCGGCGGAGCCGCCATGTCCGACAGTGAGAAGCTCAACCTGGACTCGATCATCGGGCGCCTGCTGGAAGGTTGGCTGCGGGCGGGGGAGGTCGGCTCTCACTGCGCCCTGACCCCCGGCCCGGCCCGGAAGTGGCGCGCGAGGGCGCCTGCCCCTCCCAGGGCCGCTTAGACGGGCGGGGACGGGCCGCGAGGTCCCACGGCCTCAGCCACCCCCCCACTCGCGACGCGCTTGAGGGATCTGGGGCTGCTGGGGCACGGGGAGCCCCCTCTCCTGGGCCTGGGGCGCACGGTTGGCCTGGTCATTTGGAGCAAGGGAGAAACCTAGACAGCCCCCCCACCCCACCCAAGGGTCCTGCGCCGAGGGGTTTGGAGCGGCAGCACCTGCGCACAGCAGTCCCTTGGAGCGCCTTCTGGGTAGTTGGGAGGCTACCTCATGTCCTGGGAGGCGCAGCAGCACCATCTGTCCGGGGCAAGGAGGGGCCCAGGAGGCCCTGGCGCCCCCAGAAGTGCCCTTGGGGCACCCGTGTCGCCCAGCCTCCTCCTGTCTGGGGAACCAGGGTCCTGACGCCCGTTCTGCCTCCAGTGCAGGGCTCGCGGCCTGGGAAGAATGTACAGCTGACGGAGAATGAGATCCGTGGCCTGTGCCTCAAATCCCGGGAGATTTTCCTGAGCCAGCCCATCCTTCTGGAGCTGGAGGCACCCCTCAAGATCTGCGGTGAGACTCCTGCCCAGGCCCCTTTGTTTCCTGAAGGCGGCACTGGCCCCCCAAATCCCTGGATCCTTCTAATCTTGAGCCCAACCCTGGCCCTGGGTTCAAGTCTAGACCCTGCACCAGTGCTGATCTGGTTCCCTGGGTCACAGGTGACATCCATGGCCAGTACTACGACCTTCTGCGGCTGTTCGAATACGGGGGCTTCCCTCCAGAGAGCAACTACCTCTTCCTGGGGGACTATGTAGACCGGGGCAAGCAGTCGCTGGAGACCATCTGCCTGCTGCTGGCCTATAAGATCAAGTACCCCGAGAACTTCTTCCTGCTCCGTGGGAACCACGAGTGTGCCAGCATCAACCGCATCTACGGCTTCTACGATGAGTGTGAGTAGCTTCGTGCCTGGGGCTGCCCAAGGCCTGAAGAGCTCTCCCTGTTATTCAGTTGGCCTGGTGGTAGGGGTATCCATGTCTGGCAGAGCCCTGCCCTCCTGCCATGGGGTCTGGCACTCAACAGGGGTCTGGTGAATGGTTGCTGACTGAAGGGCTAATGCAGAACCCTGTCTGGTGACACTCCCTCTAGTACATCTCCTACTTAAGCACTTAGGACACCTATCTGGACTGGACTCTGCTGGCCAGAAGCTGAGATAAACCAGACCCCGTCTTGGCCTGGTCCTGCTCATAGGGTGGGGGTGGATGCTAACCCCAACACTGTTCCAGATTGGAACTTCGGGGTTCCGTGGATTCAGCTACTGTAGAAGTCCCCCTAGAAGGCTGGTGGGCAGTGTGTGTGTGGTGGGGGTTCCCTTCTTATCTCCCATGCTCTTCGCCCAGCTGTGTCTGGGAGGCCCTGGAGGCCCGCTCATGAGCCATTCTCCTTCCCCTGGGCAGGCAAGAGGCGCTACAACATTAAACTGTGGAAAACCTTCACCGACTGCTTCAACTGCCTGCCCATTGCAGCCATCGTGGACGAGAAGATCTTCTGCTGCCATGGAGGTGAGGGCAGCCCGGGGCGCCTGCTGAGGGAGCTCATGGGAAGAAGCTGTCAGCTAGAGGGCTTGTTCCTAGTCGCCTGGAACAGCTCTCCCTGGGTCTGGGCTTGGATGTCACTTACTGCAGGACGTTCCCCTGCTCCTTGGTGTTAGGCTGCACTCTCCGCTGTTGTGGCCTCAGCATTATGCATGGAATTTGCTTGCTCCTTTCTCTAGGGAGCTCTGTGCTCCTAGAAGCAGGGACTTAAGAGAGGCAGAAGGTAATGAGTTCTGTCTGCCTGGGTTCCCAAAATCCAGGAGAGCCAGGGGGTAGTGGTGGAGTGTATGCGCGCGCAAAAGCTGATTGGCCAGGGCTGTTGGGGGTGGGGGGCATCCTTGTTTTGAGGCTTGAGGAAGTGACGTGCCACCTGTGTCCTCCAGGTCTGTCCCCCGACCTACAGTCCATGGAGCAGATTCGGCGCATCATGCGGCCCACAGACGTGCCTGACCAGGGGCTGCTATGTGACCTGCTGTGGTCTGACCCCGACAAGGACGTGCAGGGCTGGGGCGAGAACGACCGTGGCGTCTCCTTTACCTTTGGGGCTGAGGTGGTGGCCAAGTTCCTACACAAGCACGACTTGGACCTCATCTGCCGGGCACACCAGGTGGGCTGGCAGCTCTGGTCCAGGTAGGAGAGGGCCCTGGGCAGCCAGCACTTGCTTAACTATCTGCCCCATCCTTGTCCAGGTGGTAGAAGATGGCTATGAGTTCTTTGCCAAGCGGCAGCTGGTGACACTCTTCTCAGCTCCCAACTACTGCGGCGAGTTTGATAATGCTGGCGCCATGATGAGTGTGGACGAGACGCTCATGTGCTCCTTCCAGGTGGGGATGGGGAAGGAAGGGGCTGGTGGCCCATGGCTCAGCCCCATGAGCCTGACCAGTGTTGTCTCTTTTAGATCCTCAAGCCCGCCGACAAGAACAAGGGGAAATATGGGCAGTTCAGTGGCCTGAACCCTGGTGGCCGGCCCATCACCCCACCCCGTAACTCCGCCAAAGCCAAGAAATAGCCTCCACGTGCCCGCGCTCTGCCCTAGATGGTGGATTGTACAGAAACCACGCAGCATGTGGGGGGTCATGCTGACTTCCTAGGCCTGCTGTCACAGGGAACATGGAGCCTTGATGTTTTTTTCCTTTTTTTTAATGAATCAATAGCAGTGTCCAAGCCCCCAGGGCTCCCTCTGCCTGTGCCTCGGTGGCTGCAAGCAGGATCCTGGGGCTGAGGCTGCAGCTCAGGGCAAAGCAGGGCCAGATTGTGGGTCTCCAGCCTTGCTTGGCCTCAGGGCTGGCAGCCGGATCCTGGGCAACCCATCTGGTCTCTTGAATAAAGGTCAAAGCTGGATTCTTGCCCTGGCCTGTCTCCCTTGTCCCAAACAGTGGGCCTGGCACTCTTTTGCCCAAAGCCACTTGCAAGGGGTGGCTTGCCAGGCACGGGGCCCCAGCCACATGTTAAGGTCCACAGGGCCTTCTTAGAATTCCCAGCCAGAGCCAAAAAATATTGAAAAAGCAAGGCCAGCCAGCCAGCCATAGCACATCCCCGATGTGGAGGAGGGACAAGTCATGATTGTCAGAAAACGTTGATCAATGGGCCAGCAGCCCCACTGTGATTTCTTAAGGAAGATAGGTGTCCAGCTTCTGTTTCAAGGTTGGAATAAGGTGTGGGACCTCCTATCAGGTGGACCTCCCCTCGAAACAGACATGATTGTTGGGGGACATGACAGGGCCCAGGCCAGTTACCAATAGCCGGTTGGGGCATGGGGATGCAGCAGGACCAGCCAGCTCAGCTCCAGCCCACCTTTACCAGCGCCAGCGTGGAGACCCAGCCCTGTCCCTGGCTGGCGCTGAGGAGCCAGAGGCTGTGGCTTCATCTAGCCAGGGCCTCTGGGCACAGAAGAGGTTCTCAGTTCAGCCTTCACCCTCACTGTCTTCAGCCAACACAGGGCTGGGGCCCAGCGGGGAGTGTGCAGGAGCCAGGATGGAGCCAAAGAACAGTGAGCGGAACTGGAAGAACAGGGAGCTGAGTGAGTTGTGGAGGCTGCTCCCACCTGGCATCCCATCCTCTGCCTCCACTCCCAGCCCCTACCTTCTTGGGTGGGGGGGTCCCAGGCACTGTACTGAGCTCAGCCTCAGCTTCATCTTCTTCCCCTTCGGAGTTGCAGGGAGGCTGGAGGCCAGGTGAGAGGGAGATGGAGGGGAGTGTTCTTGAGCTCTCACTGCCCACAGTGGTTTCCATGGCGATCATGTAAGAGTCAATGTCGTCACTGGCAAAGTCATCCGGCTGGGGGGTGCTGCAGGTAAAGATGATGTCAGTGAGAAACAGGAAAAGAGCCCACCTGGAGGGCTGTGGTGGGGGTTGGTGTGGGGACCTTGTGACCACTGGTGATCTCTTAGTTTTATTACTTCCTTATTTGGTTGGAGGAGAGAGGATACAAGGGTTAAGTGGCGACTTCCTGGAGGGGCTGGGCCTGGAATCTTTTGATCAGAGTTCAAATAGGGGCCTGAGGGAGGCATCCTGGGGGCCCATTTAGCTCAGCTGGGGGAGGGGAATAGTAAGTGCGGTGAGCTGGGCCACTTTGGGCCCAATATCTCGCCTTCCCAGGGGATAGGAGCTGGAGAGCACAAAGGCCCAGGGACCTGCTGGGCAGGGGGCCAGACTAAACTTCCTCTGCTTAAACTATACTCGTCCCATCCTCCCCAACCCACCTACCCTTCCAGCCACCTGCTTTTCACCCCAGGCAGTCCCTAGCCTCCAGCAACCCCCTTTCCCTCCTAGTCTGGGAGGAAGCTCAGTGGGGAGGTCTCAGCCAGAGAAGGAAACTAGCCTGACCTTGGGGACACTTCCCCTGGGTGGGAGGGACCTCTGAGCACAGCTGACCAGGAAGGCTGAGCCTGTGAGGCTGGAAGCTGGAAGCACTGTAGGGGCTGGGGCCTTACAGGAAATGTCTGTATGGAGGGGGAAATATTGAAGCTGGAGGCAGCAGGCTCAGACCAGGGTGCTCAGAGCCACTTGGGAGGGTGGGCCTGTGGAAACCCTCACCTGTGGGCCTGGCGCTGAGGCGCTGGCCGGCAGGGCTCTGAGAAGTGCAGGTCCTGGGAGTTTGGGGTTGGCTCCGAGAGTGTAGCCAGAACAAAGTGGCCATCCAGCAGAGAGTCCTTGATGGCAAAGATGGCTGGCCTGGACAGATGATGGGTCCCAGACAAGGTAAGGGCCCTTTGGCTCCTGGCACCCCAGAGCCCTCCCCTCCCTGTCCCGAGGCTGGGAATTACCTGCCGGGAGCATCGAAGTGAATGCTAAGAGACAAGTTTGCTGACTCTGCGAAGCTCAGGAGCCCCTGGGAGGAGAGAGCAGAGCAGTGAGGCCTTGGGCAGGACAGGGAGGATGGGATGGTGAGGGTATGGGGGGAACCTCACCCGGAATTCTTTGAGGCAGAAAGTGATGGCCACCCCTTCTTCAGCCTGCAGCTGCTGGAAATCCTCCTGCCCAATGCTCATCTCAGTCACCATGGCTTTGATTGTGCTGTCTGTGGGGGCAGGAACAAGAGAAACCTGGGCCCATAGGTCCTAGCTCCTCCCACCCCATCATTTCCTATCCCAGGCCCCGTCCAGACCCCTCACCTGCCTCTTCCTCCTGGTAGCTTCGCAGGATGACCCTGCGACCATGGCCAATGCCCAGCGTCACTTCAGCCAGTGCAGGGGGGAAGGGCAGAACAGCCTCCCCCAGAAGCCTGTGAGGCGGGCAGAGCATTACACCTAAGGCTTGGCCCTACCCAGTGGTTTTGCTCTCAGAGGACCTGAGGCAGGACAGTGACACATGCACCAGTATGGAAGGGGGATTGCATGAGCCAGGCCTAACATGCCCCAGGAAGGAGGACAGGGTGAGCAAGACATGGTTCCTGCCCCATCAAAAGCTCCCAGGCTGTCATGGCAGCAAAGTCCACTGTAAGGGACAGGACAGACAAGAGTAGAGCCCAGAGAAAGCAGGAAGGATGCCTATACCAGGCAGGCAACACCTGTCCATCCAGGGGTGGGACACCACACCCATTCTATCCTTACCACTTGGCCTTCAAAAAGAACCCTACATCCTTGTTTTTTAGGGATACATGGTAACAAGTAGTTACAAATGAAGTAATATTTAGAATTAGCCTCAAGACAGTTGGGACAGGAGCTGGCATATTCTATATGTATTTAAAATTGTAAGGAAAAGAAAAAATTACCCATTAAAAAAGAGAAATAGCCTCAAAATCCAGTCCAGAGGTGATCGCCTTCCCTCTTTACCTAAAGGAGCAGTGCCATACACAGAACTCAGAAACCACAGAGTCAGGACCCAAAGGGACCTTCAAGTTACATGGCCTATGGCTCCTAAAAGAAATGAACAAGACCTTGGGCTACTTGAATGCCAGGAGCACCCAGCATGGGCGGGAAGGGAGCCACCCTCTGCACTGGTCTTCACCAGGGACCTGGGCCTCCACTGCAGTCCCGGCCTCCCAGCCCCCGGGGGCTCAGATTGCCCGGATGGTTCCAGCTCTGGAGCTGCTTGTTAGGCAGGCCGCCTGGACCACAACCTCCCCACCCAGCCTCCTGCCTTGACCTGAGGACTCAAGGCTAAAGTCAGGGCAGGTAGGGAGAGGCTGCCCTTGAGTGGGGAGCACCCCAGAAGGATAACCAAGCCAAAGACGGGTTTTGACCCTGAGCTACAAAGCTTGACGACAGACTTTCAAGGCTGCTCAGGCCAGAGACCTACTCTCCAGAAGGCTGACTGGCCAGAAAGACAAGCTGGGCCCTTGGGGTGAGACTATAGGCTCCTGAAGACAGTGAGGAGCCTACAGCAAGGGAGCCCCTGTCCCTCCTCAACTCCTCCTCTTAAAGAGACAGACAAGGACCTGAGAGCAAACTGGCCTGGATGACTGCTGAGGTTCACACGAACCCTGTAGGAAAAATGGTAACGGTGCCTTCTTAAATTGACCCTTGAGGCCCCAAAGAAGGAAGACAGAGACCTAGGGCTCAGCTTTCGGAAAGGTGGTGTACTTACTTTGCTGGGGCCCGGAGCAGATAGGGGCACGAGGCTGGGTCGAAGACAGCCTGCAGGGACTCACAGTCCTGGAAGGACAGGTTGTGAGTCTTTCTCACCCCTGGACGGGCAGACAGAGTCTCAGGACCTCGCCAACCTCCACCCCCACACCCCAGGAACCCCCTTGCTGGCCAGCTGCCCACTCACCGTATTTGCAGTGCAGCTGGACCACCAGGCGGCTGCTCCTGCCATTCAGGGACATGCAGCATTTCTCCACTGTCTTCTCCAGCATCACCAGCGAGCGGAAGACTGACAGGAACGACTAGGTGGGGGAAACACATCAGGCCAACACTGCGCCTCCAACAACCAGTTCTCACGTCCCTATGGGCCCTAGCCCATCATGGGCTCAGAACCGTCACACCAGGAAGGGAGCTCCCACAACTATTGGTCATTGACACATTTCCAGGCCTCTGTTCATGCTGCTCCCTGTCTGGATGCCTTGTAACACCTGCTTGAATGTCACCTCTCTCTCCAGGTCCCTGGTAGGGTTGATCACCCTCTCCTCGTCTGCATTCCCCTCTGCAGATGTCTTCACTGTGCTCCTCGCTGCACTGTGCACTGGACTGCCCCTGCACACACCTCTCTCCCCAGTCAGCATCTACTGAGTGCCCAGAGCAGCCGCACTGCTGCGGGGGCTCCTGGGGGGTGCAGTACCGCTGCTGAGGGAAGGACCTCACCTTCATCAGGATCTTACAGCGCAGTGGGTCCTGACCAGGGGTGGCCGCCTGGTACAGCTGGAAGAAGAGCGGGGCAAAGAGGAAGCAGGCATAGGCAGAGCGGGAGGAGTTCACGGTCCGGAGAGAGAGCTGGGCAAGGAAAAGCAGGGAGAGGAACGCAGTCAGGGCAGTGACACTTGCCCTAATGTCCTGCACCTCCACCATCACCTGTTGAAATCCGGACTCCTTCCGGTCATCGGATACCTTCTCCATGAAGCCTCCCCAGAGTTGGCCTCAGCACTGCTCCCACCAGGGCCTTACACCAACTCACTGCGTCTTTCCCCCCTGCCACCCCCACCGGCCACCTGGCACTTCAGGGAGAGCAATTGTCCTCAGTCCACACACAGGCCTGGGAAACGACAGGGCCCAAACTGGTGCCCCAGCACCGGGGGGTGGACACTGAAACTCAGCTGACAAATCTGTCCCGGGCATCCTGCCTGGTGGAGGCGAGACTCAAGCCCAGGTTAGGGCTCCCTGTTGGAATGCCATCCCGTCCCATACCCCAGCTCCTCACCCCGTCTTCCAGGGGCTCCAGGTAGAGTTCGTCCCCGATTCGGGATAGAGAGTGGACGGCCTTGCCGAGCACTGCGTGGGGAGAAGAGCATCAGGGGTTAGGCTGGAGCCTCGGGCAGTCCCACGTCCCCCCGACCCCGCCAGTCCCCACTTACCCTTCACGTTGCCGCCTGTGACCAGACACTTCATGCCGCCACCTGCACCGAGGCCGGCCTGGCCTGCGCCCGGCTGAGACTGGCGGCCTCCCTCCTCTCGGAAGCGTGGATGGCCGAGCACCTTCGCGCGCACCACCCTGACCGCCCCGCCTCTTCATTGGTCCACACACCGGCCTCCGTCACGTGAGGAAGACGTTTGCAACTCCACTGTCACGTGATGGAGCCCGTTGGGGGCAGGTCACGTGGGCCGGGCTTGGCCGGCGCGCACCTCGTTCGTTCCCTCTGGCAGGCGCGCGACTACGCAACCGAGCGCGGGGAACACGGAGGACGCGGCCCCGGTGCTCGGTGCGGGGGAAGGCCGCTCGCGTCACCGGCTCAGTGCGGACTTCCCAGGTGTCGCAGCCAGACCGTCCGCACCGACCGGGCCGGAGACTAGGATACAAGCTGCAGCCATCAGCACTAGAGAAGGATGAAAGCAATCGCGGCCGGATCCCGCTGGGGAAGTGGCCGTTCGTTCCGGCTTCGAGGACCTTTCGTTGATTGTTGAACCTAAGAGTCTCGGGCGGAAAGGGCTGGCCGGTGTACCTCGCAGGGGGAAGCGAGAAGAAAGGCTCCGGGGGTGAGGTTTAGCCGGTGCGGGAGGGAGGTGGGTCTTGGAGCCGCGCAGAGGGGTGGGGGTGGCCGCCACTTGACAAGGCGCACTAATGAGCAGCACTGGACACGTTTACGAGGGTAGAATCGTACTTACGTGGCCATTTAAAACAACAACAACAACGCACAACCCGGGCTGCGCGAAAGGAAGGGTCTCATCAGCCAGGGATGTCTGCCTGGCCCTGGGCGCCAGCCCCCGGGCAATGGGGAAGGCAGGCCTGGGCGGGCTCGCTGACCCCTGGTTTCCCGCAGCACCAGGGCTCTGAGGTGCTCTGAAGGGCCCCGTCGCGCCGTTCCTGTAGGGCAGCCTGGCCTTGCCCCTCTGCTGCTGTCTGCAGCGAGGATACCTTTGCCTGCGGACCCCTTGCCCTCCAACTCCTAGCCTGCCATTGTGGGCCCCACTTGTTTCCCCTTCTCCTTGCCCTCATCTCCTCTCCACACTGGGCTCTCGGGAGGCCATTCTCTCCTCCCAGAGCGATCAGTGTAAATGGCACCACCTCTGTGCAGGCATTTGGGTAAGTAAACTTGGAGTCATCCTTGGCCCCACCTTCCCCTCACTCCACATACTACAATTTTTTGGCAAGTCCTGAGTCTACCTCCCAAACAGATGACAACTTCAACCTTCCTCTTCCATCTCCAGAGCCATCATCCTGGCTGAGGACACCACCATTTCCCATCCGGACGACTGACCAGGAGCTCTCTGAGTCTGTCTCATCCAGTCCACTCTCCATGCAGCACCAAGGTGACCTTCCTAAAATGTCAACCATGTCACGCCTCCCCCTTGTTTAGACCCTCCAGTGGTTTCTAACCACTGCACTTCCCATAAAATCCACACTTCTCCCCCCAAACCTCAGGAGCCGGCCCAGCCTCTTCGCCTGTCTCTGGCCTTCCTGCGCAGCCCATCAGTTCTCTGAGCCATCACATCCGTTTCCATCTTGGGATCTCTGCACAGGCCGTTCCTACCACTGGGGATGCTCTGCTCCCTTCTCACTGCTGGCTCCTTTTCCTGGGGCTCAGCTTCAAGCAATAGGCCTCTGCCCGCTCCCCCATGTCCCCCTTCTCTCTAGCTAAGCCCTTGCTCTGGGTTAGTCACAGCACTTAGCACCACTCAACATTATTCCACACGTGTGTGCATTTATTCAGCGGGCGTCTTCACCACTAGTATGTCAGCTCCTGAGCACAGGGACCATGGCTGTTTTGTTTGTTGCTGTATCCCTGTGCCTCACACAGGCCTGGCCCTCAGTAGAGGGTAGTACATGTGTTCAGTGGGTAGATGTGTGATCCAAATGAAGATGAGCTGCCTCCAAGTCACTACATTTCTCGTAGAATCCACACTCTACCCCAGACCTGCCCAGCCTCTTCACCTGTCTCTGGCTCATAGCCCCACCCTTCCCTGGACAAGAGCTGCCCCCCACCCTGTTCCGACAGAACAACAAAAGAACCCAGCACAGCTATTCTCTTCCTTGCCTTTCGCCCCCTCCTGGATGTCCCTCTCTTTCACCCCAGTGTAAGTCAGCATAGCCTCACAGCTTCTCCACCTCCCCTCTGCCTCACACCATTACCTGAGCAGCCCAACCGGAACAGGAGATAGACACCAAAGCTCTCTGGATGGCCAGGAAAGGAAGCTGTGATTATGCAGTCTTGTCTGCCCCGACCCCTACGTCTGTAGAGTCTTATGGCCTTGAGGTCTTTGGAGCAAGGCCCTGGGGAGAGGGAGACAGACTCTTTAGGTCTCTCTGTCTCTCTCTCTCTCTGTCTCTCTCTCTCTCTCTCTGTCTCTCTCTCTCTCGCACGCACGCGCGCGCTTGTCAAAAGTCGGAATCTGCCCTTCTGAAGGGCTCAGACAACAGAAAGGAGGCTAGAGCAGGAGTCAGGAGGCCTGTTTCTAGTCTGTGATCCAACACGGATTCGCTGTGTGACTTTGTGTAAGTCCTCCCTGGCTCTGAGGCTGTTGGTGGCATGAGATGCTCACTGCGGTGCCCCGGCTTCCCTGTGCCCCTCATCTGGCCGTAGCTCTGGAGAGGAGCTGTCATTGGCTGTCTTTATTTTTGTTAATCCTCACCCGAGGATATTTTTTCCATTGATTTTTAGAGAGAGTGGAAGGGAAGGAGGGAGGGGGAGAGAGAAACATTGATGTAAGAGAGGGACATCCATTGGTTGCCTCCCTCATGCGTCCTGACCCGGCTGGAGATTGAACCTGCAACCTAGGTAGGTGCCCTTGACTGGGAATCAAACCTGAAACCCTTCTGTGCTCGGGCTGACACTCTAACCACTGAGAATACCAGCCAGGGCTCCTTTTTTTAAAAAAAAAAAAAATATATATATATATATTTTTATTGATTTTTAGAGGAAAGGAGAGAGAAAAAAAATAATGTGAGAGAAACAGTGATTGGCTGCCTCCTGTATGCACCCTTACCAGGGATCAAACCTGCAACCTGGATCTGTGCCCTGACTGGTGACCTTTTGGTGCATGGGATGAGGCTCAACCAACAGCCACACCGGCCTGGGCTGTAATTGGCTGTCTTGCTTCCCCCAGGCAATGGGGCCAGAACGGGGCTCTCCAATCTGGGGTCAAGCAGCCTCTCCAGGCTGTAGTTGGCACAACCAACAAAACCTCTCAGGTCCAGAAGGGAGGATTTACAGTGGGGGCATGAGAGCCTAGAACTGTCAAGAACCCTTTGTGTTAACAGGGCAGGCAGTGAATATAGGGACCCAAAGACAATCTGGGGTCTGTGCCAGAAGTCAGGAGGCCCAGGGGACCTCCAGTCCTACTCACAACTTCAAGCAAGACTCTTCTCTGGGCCTGTTTCCTCTTGATAAAAATGAGGGGATTGGATGAGATGCTCTCAGAACCCTTTCAAAGCCTAGATTCTTAGTCTTCACCATACCCACCTGCGACCTCAAGTGCATATATGGGAGTTGGGGGGGTGGCAGATAGGGGACAGAAGAAGGTGGTTTACCGCCCTAACCGGTTTGGCTCGGTGGATAGAGCGTCGGCCTGTGGACTGAAGGGTCCCAGGTTCGATTCCGGTCAAGGGCATGTACCTTGGTTGCAGGCACATCCCCAGTAGGGGGTGTGCAGGAGGCAGCTGATCGATGTTTCTCTCTCATCGATGTTTCTAGCTCTCTATCCCTCTCCCTTCCTCTCTGTAAAAAAATAGATGCCGAAATCGGTTTGGCTCAATGGATAGAGCGTCAGCCTGCGAACTAAAAGGTCCCAGGTTCGATTCTGGTCAAGGGCATGTACCTGGGTTGCGGGCACATCCCCAGTAGGAGATGTGCAGGAGGCAGCTGATCGATGTTTCTAACTCTCTATCTCTCTCCCTTCCTCTCTGTAAAAAATCAATAAAATATATATATTTTAAAAATCAATAAACTATATTTAAAAAAAAAGGTGGTTACCATTGCAGACTTTTTTTTTTAATCCTCACCTGAGAATATTTTTTCCATTGATTTCTAGAGTGTGGAAGGGAGAGAGAGGGAGAGAAACATTGAAGTGAGAGAGACGTATCGATTGGCTGCCTCCTGCTGGAGCCAGGGAACCTGCAACCTGAGATACGTGCCAGGAATCAACCCCTCTGCCCTTCAGTCCTGGGGCCGATGCTCTAACCACTGACCAAACTGGCCAGGGCCCATTTCAAACTTTAAAAATAATTATCTGTCGGGAAATTTCAGTTCAACCACTACTTCTCACCCAACTGGTTAGGTTTGAAGTCGCAGGAATCCCCAGAGCTCAGTAATTCATTTAATTCAGAAACACATTTCTAAGTTCAGGAACAGAATACAGGATACAAATCCCCGCTACCCTGGGCTTACACTGCACCGGAGAGGACAGATTAAAGGGACAGCCCGTGCCAAGGCTCTGATGTCCACACGTGTGGTTCTACTGGGATGACCAAGGGGGTGAGGCAGCTCTGAGCTGCCAGCAGGGCACTACTTGCCCACCTGTAAGTGGTTCAGCAGCTGCCAGAGGTGCCTGTAGGCAGGCCCAGGCCTCTCTCATTCCCCAGCATTTCTCAGCAGTTGGGGCAAGCTCGGCACATACCGGTGGCTTAAGCATATATTGAATGACTGAAGAGCATAACATTCAAAGTGGTTACAAGATTTGGACTCGGGTTGTCTATTGAGGTGGACAATGGGATTCTAGGCACTAGCCTGCCTGGATCTGAATCCTGGGTTCATCACTTTTAGGTTGTGTGCAAGTAGACACGTTGCCGATATTCTCTGAGTCTCAGTTTACTCATCTGTAAATTGGGGGAAGGAAAGGGCTGTTGTGAGGATTAACTTAGTGTTTATACAGCTCTTAGCACGCACTGTCAGTCTGATGATTATTATGCACTACCTCATCTTGCGTGTACCCTCACAGGATTCTAGGGTCAGAACCAAGAACAAAATAAATCATATTAGGGAGGAATCCACACTAGGAAGCAGGGAGGGAAGACCCCCAGGGAAACATTGCAAGGAAAAGGCCCAGAGGCCAGGGACTGGAAAGAACTGGCAGGACTCAGGTGGGGCAGAGGTCAGCCCCAGGGAGAAGGTGTGGGGGAGGCTGTGGCTGTGGCCATGTGCTGGCCCCTCGATGCCTTCTGCCTCGTGAGGGGAATGTAAGTCCTCTGTCTTCCCGAGCTGCCAGAGGCTGACCCGAGGCAGTGGCTGTGCCCGCACTGCCAGGCACGGTGCGCAGACAAGCCCAGGTCCCGGCAGTCTGCAGGGCAGGAGGTGGAGGGGAGATGGGAGGGAATTTTCTAAACCCACAGCAGAGAAGGGGGAAGCATAGGCTTGTTCACCAAAACCTGGCACGCTGGAATTACAGGCCCCCTTGGAGCACAAGTGAGGTAAGTTTAGGACAAATCAAAGACAGCGTGCTTCACCCAGCAGGGGAGGACGCCGATGGAACTCATTACCCCAAGATGTGGTCTCGGCTGGGAATATAAATAGCTTCACAAAAGGTTTAGATAAATCTGTGGATGACAGCTCCATTCATGGCTAGAAGGGGAAGGAAGCTGTTGGGGGCCTGCTGGCCTGTGGGGAAAGCCTCAGGGCGGGACCTGGCCTCCCCAAGAGCAGCTCAAGGGGCCCCGGTCCAAGGCAGGCTTCTGGCCACAGGAACCCCAGGCGGCAGCATCAGGGTTCTGGCAGGCTGGAGCCCGGTCTGAATCCCGGGGTTCTTTCCTCAACCCCCACCACGTGCTGTCTGAGGAGATAGTGCACTTCCAGCTCTGGGGAGTCCTGGCCGGGTTGTCCCCAAAGGGGCCAGCAGGGGGAGACAGACACCGCGTCCAGTCCCAGCTCCCAGAACAGAGCCGGGATGCTCTGCCTGTAGGGTCGGCAGGCACCGTGGGGCCAGCTCTGTGCCCCAGCCAGCTGGGCACCTGAGGGCGGGAGGGGCTGAGATGGGCTTACTGCAGTGCGGGGTAAGGGGGAGAGTAGGGAATGGGGGCGGGGCGGGAGGGAGGCCACTAATTAGGAGCAGAGTGGCTCTGGAGCCATCTTGCCCTCTGTCCCAGGAGACCCAGAGCCCCTGGCTGGCAGGCCTGGGTCTCTGTAGTTCCAAACTGTTCCATGGGCACATACAGGAGCTTCTGAAAGCTCCTCCCCCGCCCCAGCAATGTTCCAGGCCGGGTGTGGCTTTTCCCTTTCTGCCACTCAGATTCTCCCCGGCCCCTCTGGAAGTCTTTCCTCACATCTACGTCCATGGACCTTTCTGTGCACCACAGCCCTTTAGAAACCTTAAGTTCTCGAGAACCTGTCTCATTTAACAGACTTTGTAGCAGGCTGAAACTGACATGCACAGGGAAGGACGGGTTGTGGTCCTCAGAAAGGTGCCTTGGGGGCCAGTAGGGGTGAGGGGGCTCCTCAGAGACCCAAACTACCCACATCTTGCAGACAGATGACCTGAAAGCTCAGAATGGGGCAGGCACCCAGCACAGTCAGGATCAATTGGCTCCTCTCAACCCTTCCGAGCTCGCTGTGCCCATGCTGTTCCCCTCCCACTCCACCCTCCTTTAACACATTGAACCTCTACCGGAGGCTGGGGGGCAAATTCAAATGCTCAGGAATCATTTGTCATTGGAGGAGAGTTGAGCAACAGCCCAACTCTAGAACTCTCTAGAGTTCTGGGTCTGTGCCCTGAGTGGGGAGTCAGAGCCGGGTGATGGGGACAGTTCAGGAAGGCAGAATCAAAAGGACAGAAAAGGCACAGACATAGGGGCTTGCAAGGGGGCAGTGGCATCATTAGTGGAAGCAGGAGGATAGGGCATGAGGGGCAGAGAACAGTAATATTTAACATTATTGAGTGCTAAGTGCCAGAGATTGACTCGTATTAACTGGGTCGACCCTTATTCTGAGGAAGGTACTATTACCATCACCCCTGCGCTATGCAGGAGAAAATAGGTGTGCAGGGATCAAGTGATTTGCCCAAAGTCACACAGCTAGTAAAGCTGGAGTGGTCACCTGCAACTGTGTCATTCTCCCAACAGTGCAGGCACTTGGGATGCAGGCACTGGGGGTGGGACTCCCATCACTGCTTCCCTGGCATGGCCCAGGGAGGTGCTGTCTGTCCTCTGACCCCCAGGGTCCCTGAGAAGCCCAGACATTCTGGAGAAAGTCCTGAGAAGCTTGAAGGAAGGTGGCTGGTGAGGAGGGAGGGGACAGAGCAGGAGGAGCCGGCAGTGACTCAGCAGGGCAGGATAAGGATCTTCCAGCCCAGGGAGAGGTAACCCCACTCCTTTGCCAGGGGAGACGGAGTCACTGAGCCCGAGGCATGGGTTGGCCAGGGCAATGGAACATCCTGGAAGAATGGCGGGGGGGGGGGGGGGTAGTTTCTGACAAGGGAGGAGTTGAGCATGGGGTATCCCTTCTGCCCCTGCCCATCTCGCACACCTGTCACCCAGACATCCTTGCAGAGAGTAGAGCCCAGGCAGGGCAGGGAGTGGCCCGAAGCAGAGCCTGGTTCCTCTTAGCTTCACATGGAGGCAGTGGGCGTGGTGTCCTCGGGGTGCCTGAGCTGGTCCAGGTGTGGGTGGGGGCACAGGGCAGGGTAGGGCCCTTGCTGAGGTGGGAGGAGGCCCAGGGGTTTCCGCTGACATCATGGCCA